TCTCTCTCTCTCTCTCTCTCTCTCTCTCTATATATATATATATATATATATATATATATATATATATATATATATATATAATATGTATATATATATACATTTAGGGGTAGCATTTTCGGCCAGCTGCTTTTTCGTTGGGGGGACGGACGACAGAAATCCTGGACCGCACTGAGTGGCACAAACCCAAGTTACGCCACTGGAACCAGTGAAATATCCGGGTAATGAAACGTCAGACCTCTTGGCATCTTTGACAAAACACATTCACCACGTCACACATTCCACCTCGTCACACATTCACCTCGTCACACATTCACCACGTCAAATATTCACCACGTCACACATTCACCTTGTCACACATTCACCACGTCACACATTCACCTCGTATAGGGAGGCGAAAATACCCCCCCCCCCAACCTTTCCCGTGTCATGAAAATTTAACCAGGAGGACCTAGAGATTAATTTAACTAAGAGAATGTGTCAATAAAAATCTATATCTTACTACACGATCCCACACAACACAATAAGTAAGTCACCAACTGATCCAACATACCAATCAACAAGAAATGTTCCACCTGATCCAACACACCATTCTACAAGTAACTCACCACCTGATCCCACACACCATTCAACAAGAAATTCTCCACCTGATCCCACACGGCATTCGACAAGTAAGTCACCACCTGATCCCACACACCATTCAACAAGAAATTTTCCACCTGATCCAACACACCATTCAACAAGAAATTGTTCACCTGATCCCACACAACATTCAACAAGTAACTCACCACCTGATCCAACGCACCCATCAACAAGTAACTCACCACCTGATCCCACACATCATTCAACAAGTAAGTCACCACCTGATCCCACACAACAATCAACAAGTAACTCACCACCTGATCCCACACGGCATTCAACAAGTAACTCACCACCTGATCCCACACACCATTCAACAAGTAACTCACCACCTGATCCCACACAACAATCAACAAGTAACTCACCACCTGATCCCACACGGCATTCAACAAGTAACTCACCACCTGATCCCACACAACAATCAACAAGTAACTCACCACCTGATCCCACACACCATTCAAAAAGTAACTCACCACCTGATCCCACACACCCATCAACAAGTAACTCACCACCTGATCCCACACACCATTCAAAAAGTAACTCACCACCTGATCCCACACACCCATTAACAAGTAACTCACCACCTGATCCCACACGGCATTCAACAAATAACTCACCACCTGATCCCACACACCATTCAACAAGTAACTCACCACCTGATCCCACACACCATTCAAAAAGTAACTCACCACCTGATCCCACACACCCATCAACAAGTAACTCACCACCTGATCCCACACGGCATTCAACAACTAACTCACCACCTGATCCCACTCAACAATCAACAACTAACTCACCACCTGATCCCACTCAACAATCAATAAGTAACTCACCACCTGATCCCACACACCATTCAACAAGTAACTCTCCACCTGATCCCACACGGCATTCAACAAGTAACTCACCACCTGATCCCACACACCAATCAACAAGTAACTCACCACCTGATCCCACACACCAATCAACAAGTAATTGCCCAAGCTATGTTTACAGTAATTTTTTATTTAAATATTTTTGGTCACACAACAAATTTCACTTCACACCAACATATTCCTTTATTCTGGGATAGATATGTGTATATAATATAACTAATTGTAAAAGTGGAATACATGTTTACTCAAATAAAATATGTTATGCAGCTGTACACACTGCACATATAATAATATATGCATTGAAATAGTTGACATGCACTCAGTCTATAACAGTGATACAGCATTGAACTAGAAACATTAACACACTTTTGGTGCATGAAAGCACTGGCACTTGAAAATATCTTTAATGACACATCCGAATAAGAGCTGTCAAAGAATGATAGTAAGCAAGTAAAATAATTGCACCTTTCTTTCCTGTTCATTCTTTAATATATACATATAGACATTTTATTGTTTTTTGGTTTTTTCAAACCAAATAGATGTCTCCTAAATCTTTACTAAAATTGAAGAAACTCTACTGAAAATTTGAATCTGATAAACTTTAACTTAATGCTGTGAACAATTATAAAAGTAATGAAAAGCACAATTTTTTAAAATTGCTACCATGGAGGTTCATCGGGTTCAAACTAAAAATAGGGTCTGGAACAGTGTTTCTCAAAGTTGTGATCTGGCCGGTGAGTCAAGGAACTGGCAACAAAAAGTTTAATGTTTCCTTGTTTTAAATCTCATTTCAAATACACGTACAAAAAAGAAAATAATATATCTGTTCGGTGTATAAAGCATGACATTCTGACCTCTCGTGGTCTAATGATTTTTTTCTTCTTCAAAACTTGTTTTTATTTTCCTTAGTGAGACTTAAGATAAAATTTACATGAGAAAACGTAAGTTAAATTTTTTGTTTAAAATTTTAAGAGACATAGCAAAAACAAATTATATTACAGCTGGCCATTAAATGGTAACAGTTGATAGTCGTATCGAACTGGCTGATCATGGCTTAAATAATATTTTTATTTTTAAATAAATAAATGTGACACCCGTCCCTGGTGCCACAAGAAATATTTCCACAGGTCCACCAATCTTAAAACTTTGAGAATCACTGCACTGGAACATGATATAGAATATAATATTAAAAGGAAAAAAAAAAGCTGGATTTTTAAAATAAAATCTTAATATAGTTGTTTTATTGTCTAGGATTTTTTTTTTTATTTCACGCTGTAACATATTTCTATAATAAAATGAGTAGCTCACCATCACTACAGAGACAATCTTGCAGATATTTTAAGGAATAATTGTTTCAACACTGGAATACCCAAAAACAAATGTTGATTATAAGGCTTATTGGTGGCATTGCATTCACTCGTGTCATATTACAAACAGTAGGCATATGGATCATTCTGTTGTAAATAGACACCAACTTCTTCCAATACTTTGAGGAACATAAATACATTTGGGAGATTTTGTTTTATATAAAATGTATTTGTGAAGTAACGGCAGGTGTTCAAAATCAACATGAACAGATTCATTATTCTAGTCTGTGGGTTTTCATCTTGTTATTTAACTTTCAGCAATATGTTTGCTTGGCACCTTTAGATGTTACCAGGCCAGTAAATGGCCCGTCAGGCCAGTAGCTGGCCAGTCAGGCAGTAGCTGTCCAGTCAGGCAGTAGCTGTCCAGTCAGTAGTTGACCAGTCAGGCCAATAGCTGACCAGTCAGGCCAGTAGCTGACCAGTCAGGCCAGTAGCTGACCAGTCAGGCCAGTAGCTGACCAGTCAGGCCAGTAGCTGACCAGTCAGGCCAGTAGCAGACCAGTCTTCCTGAGATTATGCCTCAGTTTCTTATTTGCACCTCCCGTGCCAGTGCTCCCAAGGGCACAGTTGTACTGTTGGAAAAATTGACACGCTAAAATTTTTGAGAAATAATACAAGTAAGCAAGAATAGACAAAAACGCAACTACAATACATGGGTATGGCATAGTTTTAAAAAATAGAATTAATAATAAAAACTATTACGTATATGATCATTAAGTAGGAGGTTAAATACTGATAACATGTTGAAAACAAGCAAAAAAATTACATATGTTTCCTGATTAGCACCAAGGTTATAATAGAAGCACAAGAGGGTACTGCTGGGTATATGATATATAATTATTTTCATATGCCTTATTAAATGATATATAATTATTTTCATATGCCTTATTAAAAAGATATTTTAAAAGCTCACCTTATCAAAGATTCAAGTCTTCACAATCATGTTTAAAATTCTATTAAAATCTGCACTTTGAAAAACCAGCAAAAGCTTTCTATACAAGCAAAGAAAATAGAATCAAAATTATCACTGTTCTAGAGTGAGACTTGATTATAATTTTTTTTTAAAATAAACTTTGGTAGTAATTTTTTTAAAAATCAAGAATAAATCATTGTAGGTGTGGGACGATTTCCCTGAGTAACCAATAATAATAAGGTCCAAATCTGTAAAGCCATCTAATGAAGAGTGTGTGTTCTTCGTATCTTTCGCTAAAAAGTTTTTCTTTACAACTTGAAAATTAAATTTTTAATGAGAGTCAGTGCGACTTTATTTGATGGTCGCAATTGATCTGTTCAAACTAAATGTTCAAATTATCTCTATAATCGGGTGACTGACGACCCTTGCTCGAAAAATTAAAATCAGTGTGTCTATGCTAAAGAGCAAATAATTATTTTGATTAGAAATGTTTTTGATTTCCTTAGATAAATTTTGTTTAAGTTATAGCTGTTGTCTGGAGGATATGCTTCTGTGGTTTTCACTTCTAGATTATATTCTAGGGGGAAAGGACACCACCAATTATATTTAAATGGTATGCTTAATTGAACCTTTTTTTTTTTTTTTTATGAATATCCAAGCCCATTTTTTATTTTTTTTTTTTTGTTATGAATATCCAAGCCCATTTTTTATTTTTTTTTGTGTGGATGTTCTGTACAACACAAAATGGTTGCAGAATTTCTAAAAATAGCTTTCACCAGTTTAACAAGTAGCTTGACAAGCAAGCTGAACTCACACGTAAAAATATATACTTTAAAAACGAATCAAAAGTAGAGACATTACAATGGACCTGATTTGATTTGATTTGAATTATGTGTCCGCAACATTTAAAAAAAACAGCATTATATAGAAAATTTAATGCAATGACATAATATTGAAATATTGAAAAAGTTAGTAACAGCAATGTCTAATGAAGGATATCTAACCTATATGTCTTCAACTTTAATAAAAAAAATTCTAGTATTCTAGAAAGAAATAGAACTTGAAAGACGGTTGTTTTAAATTAAGTTTACGGATAGTTATGAATACCTTTTTTTTTAAAAAATTTAATTTCAAATTAAAGAATACACTCGGGTTTACAGTAACAAGACTTCTCTGGTGACAAATCAAATCTTTGGAAAAAATTTTAATGTAAAAATTTGGTTTATGTGGCATCCTAAAAAATTTCCAAAGTTAGTATATTTTTAAATATCCAACCTGGAATAACACATCAACAACAGTTCATGTTCTATAATTGTCAGTGCTGGAGGTTTGACATTTCAGTAAAAACAAAATTCATCAAGTCGTGTTAAAAGGATTGAAAGACACAACATATAATATGTGAACATGAAAAAATTTGGAATTTTCATCAGGAGACATGTGTGTGATGGTTGCAGCTATGTACCAGAAATAATACATTGCAATCCCTGAGGCTGTTACATGACATTTTTCATAGCAGAGTGAACAAACAGTGGCCAGTAAAGGAAGACACTCAAAACAAATTATTGCTGTGCGCGTTTCGCTTCAACTCCAACCTACCCCAGTTGTTGAAGAAAATAAACATCCCCACGACAAATAATCAGCACAAAAAAAATGGCAAGAAGAGCAACAATATGATGTCCACGAATTGCGCTTCAATGAATTTTTAGAAAATAAAAAAATGAAATGTGTTCTTAAATTTAAAATCTGACACTGAATTTCCAGTATGACTAAGCCCATGACATCACACCCAAAAAAGAAAATTTTCATTTATACAAACACAAAAAGTCATGTTATGTAGTACAGATTTAAAGATATCATGTGGTTTTATTTTAACCAAAAAGTGGTTTCAATAAAGTTCAGCAGAATCACAGTAAGGCAGGGAATAGAAGTTGAAATTTAAAAAACCCTGACTTTATGTGGTGGAAAGTGTATGATGCAAAATTTATAAGAAACAAGTACCGGTAAGTCTCAAGAATGAACAACAGTTCAAGGGTCAGAAGTTAAGTGTTTCTCTGTCTGTACCAGCAGGTACTTAAATTTTACTAAGATGGAATTGATAACACATTGCAGATGTATAAACCGTATACTAAATAAGGGAACAGAAACTGGATAAAACTATAAGAGTGAAAGATTAGCCATGCACCATAAATATTTAGACTTAGGTCTATCCAATAATCATAAAAATCAATCATATACAGCCTGAAATCTAAAAATCATCATCATACCCCGTCCTCCCAAATATTGGATAGCCCATAAATTCCATTACAAACAAATTGTTTCATTGTTCTGTTCCTGTTTAAAATAATTTTTCTGACCCATCCATTGCATAGAATTATTAAGGGGATAAAAAAATCATGTATGCATAGATTAATTTAACATTGATATGTTCTTGCCTAAAATAATTTGCTGCCAATTAAGACGATGTAAAGTAAACAATGAAATTATTAAGACCACCAAAAACTTATTGGTAAAAAAAAAAAAAAGAGACCAATCACTGTCATGAACCGTTTGTGGTTTAAAGAATGCTGAGATGTATCACAATATGAAATACAGTACACAAAATTGTAAGCAATCCTGAAAGCCTGTAACAGAAAACTACCTGAGTGCCCTAAAGGATAACAAGCCGCTTCATAGGCTGAATGGGTTAGTTACATTTAGCCACAGAAAGATGATGACGATCAACATGTCGGAGTTTAAATGAGATCCGCTGCGAAATTGATGGTCCTCAAAGAGTTGGATACATCATCACCACACATTTTATATAGATGTATAAAAACTGTTAACCGAGTTCTGTAAATTTACACTTGGCTGAAGGAAAACAACGAAAGTACAAAACACTCTAAGCTGTTAATGAGAATGTAGTCATTCAAGCTCAGGAACTGATTTTTTAAAAACTCTTTCAACAAGTATAGTTTAAAGCGGTAAAAAAATTAAAGTGCCAATTACTGGAGACAGAATTCTGTAAAGAAAATAGACCATCACAAAAAAAGGAAATCATCAGGATCAAAGAAAACTGCGTTTTGTTGACAAAATTTATATCAAATTAGAATACCTTTTGCATTGCCCCAAAGTAACGCTATATTTATCACATCTAGGGGAAGAAAAAATAAAATCCAAGGTGTATGCATTCTCAAAACAACAAAACAATATAATCTGTTGTTTAGAGTCACTTGTATATTTACATTTTAAATTTAAAGCACAGGTTTTTCCCCTTTGGCTGGCAGCACCTCAAATATTAACCGTTTGGCCCATGTCACACAAATCCATGGCAGGACTTAAGTTAAATAATTAACAACAGAAGTAAAAAAAAAAGACAAGTCTCAACAGTCTTTCTTCTGAGGTTTTTTTTTTTATGAGGGGCTATCCTAATAGGTAACTCTTTCTTAAGTAGCGAAATACTAAAAATGATAGGTTTAAAAGCCTTTAATGGAATTCTCATAGTTTGGATAAAACTGCACGGAAAAGATCCTTGAGTTGAGACAGAAAATACCTTATTCAACAAAACTTATATTAGTTTAAGTGCTAGCTGGAATTGTGCCTTTCACAACTATCCATTAAAACAAAGCCAGCCTTTATATATCCAGTTTCTTGAAGCTTCCCCCGAGTCCTTGAATTCCAGCGTCAGCGTTCCTGACCTCATTTTTGTCCTTCTTGATGGACATGTTGAGGAATCCAAACTTCATGTCCTCTATAAACCTGCTTTCTGAAGCCAGGAGAGCTTTGATCACTTCCTGTGTAAACAAAACACCAAATGTATACAAGCAAACACACAATAAATTATGCTTGTTGTATTCAATCAATATAAAAACATATTTCAGGCACAGGTTCCGATTCATCCCTTGGGCCCTGCAACCCTCCGGGAGAGGGGGTGGGGCTTGCATATAAAAGTAGTGGCATGGGGGAAAAAATAAACTATCACCTTTAAGGCAGGGGGGCTCAACACTGAGAAGTTGCAGAGGGCCTCCATGGCTCTGCACAGATGCTATTAGGATAATAAGGGGAGAGACTGCAATCAGGTTGGCACAATATAAAATGAGTAAAGCAAATTAGGGTTAAACCTGAAAAAAGGAACGCAACAAATCAATGAACGTGTCGGCAGGAAGCCTCCGTCAGCGAACAAAACAACAGAAAAAAACAGTATAAAAATAAAAAATAGCACTTAGCTTAGAAGTAGTATCCGTGGGCAGCAAAGGAATTGTGCAATTGAATTGTGCATTCATTTGCTGCCCACGGATTCTACTTCTAAGCTAAGTGATATTTTTTTTTAATACTTTTTTTTCTGTTGTTTCGTTTGCTGACGAAGGCTTCCTGCCGACACGTTCGTTGTTTTGTTGCGTTCCTTTTTTCAGGTTTAACCCTAATTTGCTTTACTCATTTTATACAGATGCTATTAATTTCTTTTGAACTGGGCCTTTCTGTCATCCTACCATCACTGACTTACTGTTTGCGGCCCTTTAAAAAGTAAACTATCACCCTATTAACTTTGAATAAGTAACCTGTCACCTGAGAAAGCACTCCATTGTAAATTTATCACTTACTTGGTCTTTGTGTGGTTTCTGTGTGCCCCCTAGGTCAGTAGGGAGGTAAATGGGTTTGATGGATTGATGGAGCTTATCAAATTCAGAGCCATTCAGTACAATCTGTGAAAGAAAATAAACAGCTTACACAGGCTTGATGGTATAACAGAACACATCTAACACTGGAACAACCATCAATTATTACTGCAAACACATTTTCTTTTTTATTTAAATTTGGTGGTGATTGAAGTAGGTGACTATAGCAAGACTACAAAGAATTTTGGGACTAACTCTTTTGGTTAGCTTCTCCTTCATGAACTGCTTGACGATTGAAAAGACGATGTCAAAAAATGTTGGCTCATTCACATAATCAATTCTTTTGAGTCTTAGAGGCACCACATCCTGAAAATAATAAGCCAAATACAAGATTGAATAACTATACAGAAGTAAACACAAGCTGAGACCCCCAAAATCTTTGTGAGCAGTGTGTAAGGTGGCAAGCCCCCCCCCCCCCACCAAAAAAATACGACTGATCAGTGTGTCAGGTTAGACCACCCCCCCCCCCCCAAAACATTGTGAACAGTGTGTAAGGATGTAAGTCACAAGGAAACAACAAGTTTAACCTGGAGAAAATTTTATGAAAGTAATTAGGATATATTAAGGGCCCTCAAATTTTCTCCCCACACTGTTTTCGGGAATTGTAGAAATTATATTAAATTAAAAATAAGTAGCTCCATAAAATACAAGTAGTGAACAATTGGTTACAAAAGATATTTGTAAAAAGAATCCTCTACCTGAAGAATTTGCATAACTTTTTTAGCCAGCGCTGGCCCAAAGTGCGATACATGTTTCATGGTCATGCCCTCCAGATTAATGATGAAGTGAATTCCGTTGACTTGTGTGATCTCATCCTGAGGATTGAGGCAAAAAGGCTGTTTCGCACCTTGAAATATTCTTAACATAAGTTTCGCACCTTGAAATATTCTTAACATAAGAGCTTCTGGCTTTGGCAAACTCAAGAGAAAGTATGAAAAGTGACACAGATGTCATTCTTCTTCTTCTCTTCTATATTTTGAGGCCCCACGACCCATGCATTGATCGTTGTAACTCATTGATTCTCAAATCAAGTACAAAAACGTAAGTGTAAATAACACATCGTTGGTTTGTTTCCCTACCCTATATCAGAACTGGACACACGCTAATCCAGTTCTCATACTACAACTTCCAAACCGTGGTCACAACAAGGGGAGTTGCTACACACTGGCAATGTTTGTGATGCAATCATCAAACAGCCACGTACAATTACTGAGCAATGATCACTTATCGTCAAATCAGCTGCCTTGTGTTATGAAAGTATCTGTTTGTTGGTAATCACAAACCTGTTTGTTGGTAATCATAAACCTGTTTGTTGGTAATCACAAACCTGTTTGTTGGTAATCACAAACCTGTTTGTTGGTAATCACAAACAATCTTGTACTTTTCTACTTCAATTGAACCAATGACCTTTTCTAAAATAATTGTATGATTTTTTAAAATAAAAACTACTTTGTTCCTGTTTTTAAGTATCACACTGACCTCCACCAGTTTAGAAAACAGCAGAAAGTCAGCTCTTGGGATTTCAGCTACAGGAAACCTGTCGGGATCCCAGTTGCCTAAGATGGTAAAGATAAAATTACTACATTTCCCTTTGACGTCAAAGTTTAATTATTTTAATTCTTTGAAAAAAAGTCTGGGGCACAAACGAGAGTAAACAGCAGCCAAAGGTAAAGAAAATTAAAACATGGGGAATATGCCAAATGAAAACACAACCGCTCTGTTGCTGCACATAAATCAACAGGCAACACACAGATCAACAAGCGACACACGGATCGACAGGCGACACACAGATCGACAGGCGACACACAGATCAACAGGCGACACACAGATCAACAGGCGACACACAGATCAACAGGCATCCCTTTTACAAAGCTTCAGTCTGAATATCGTTAAAACGAATTATCTTAAAATAAGACTACAAACTTAGTGCATCTACTCCATGATTGAGATTAAAAATGACTTAAATTTCGGAATAAAACAATTTACAAACAAAAACAAATTTTATCGGTTTTCGGTGTTTTCTCAACAGTTTGTTACTCTGCCTGGTTCACCGGATGAGGGTCGGCCTGGTAGGGGGTCACTTAGTACAGTACAAGTGGGCTCCGGTAAATAACTTACTACTTTATTAGTCACTAAGCCCCCCCCCCTCCTTCCCCACCCCACCATTCATATTTCAAACAACCATTAATAAGCCATGACATACCTGGCCTCAGTATAACAACTTTGCATCCTTCTGAGTCTCTCTCTTTCAGTATTTCGAAAAGGCCATCATCGAGGATATGTTTAATTCTGGACGGCTTGAGGTCATCAAAAATTTCTGGTTCTGTTCGGCGTATTTCATAGTAATTTTTCAGAAGTTGGAATGTTCGCTCCTGGTCAAATTTGCGTGCACGTAAAAATGCAAGTAGAAAGTTAAAGTCTGTGCGGGGCTTAAGACCTGAAATTTATGAAAAGGGAGAAAAACCAGTTGCCTAACATGTTCAATCAGTGGTATAAAAACATTTATAAAAGTTAATGATGAACAAATAAATATCCGGTAGAATAAATATAAGTGTTGAATAGATTGTCAGTCTTGCTGCGGTATTGTAAAAGAGGCATACGGTGTCTCGAGTGTGAAAAAAAGATCTCTGCTTGACTTAATTCTTAAATACTGGAAACGCACTCTGGGTTTTATCTTATCTTTAGAGTAAGATTCTTTACCTTCAACAAAAGCAGATGGTTTAAAAGCTATTTAAACATAAAATTTATGGTAAAAAAAATAAGCATAAAATAATTATTATCTGCCCCATGAATTAATTTCTAATGATGAAGTGCTTTATTCAAATAATTTTAAAATTCTTACACACAGGGCACCAAGTTTGCGAAATATCTTATTTATGTTTGGACAAATAACTTTCTATTTGAAATTAAACAAGTACCTGGCACTTTTTCAAGCCTGCTCCTTAAAGTTTTCACCTCAAATATTCTGGTGTCTGGATCCTCCCTTAACTCCCGCTTAGCTTTAGCCAAGACATCTGGGGGAAGGGTACACTTGTAGCTTGAATCAGCCGAACCGGACATTGTCAGTAGAGTAAAATGTTTGTAGCTGGAGACACTGGTCACAACTGTAACTTTAGCAGATTATGTCACTTTGACTTTTTTGTGCCTTTATCTGGTTAAGAGAAGATTTATTTTTTTATTTATGTATATAAAAATAAATAGTCTTCCATCATAAACTTACAAATGTAGTGTGTGGATGGGCTGGTGGTATATTGGGGTGGGGGGGGGGGAGAATAATTCTGAGTTTCTTGGTGGTGTTCCTTGCACATAGCATCTAATGAAGTTTAATTTCTTAATTCCTGCCCTGCAACTGAGACTTATTTATATTCCAGTGGAAGTAATTTTATTTTTATTCCCGTGTTTTTTTTTTTTTGGGGGGGGGGGGGAGAGAATAATTCTGAGTTTCTTGGTGGTGTTCCTTGCACATAGCATCTAATGAAGTTTAATTTCTTAAATCCTGCCCTGCAACTGAGACTTATTTATATTCCAGTTGAAGTAATTTTATTTTTATTCCCGAGTTGTTGTTTTTATTAACTTTTTTTACACAGTATGTTATACTTTGAATATATTGCAAAAAGCATTTCACTCCTTGAAATAAATGTTTCAATATTAGATATTAGAATAAACACAATATAGAAAAATGGTATTCGTTACATCGAGAATTTCCAATTTTTAGCACCAAATATTATCAGGTATGTCAAATATGAACATCATACAGTTCGACATCTCTGTTCCCATTAATAACACCATTGCTTAAAAGTCATACCAGCTGAATATTAGGGGTTGAAATCAAATACAAACAAATAATTTTAGATTCAATATGAACATCAGCCCACTGGGTGATGTGACAGAGCTTAAGTCTCAAAAGGCAGTGATTGTGACATTGAAATCAATGCAAGGATCAGCTAATCAAAGCAGACATTTTGAATATTGACATCCATATGGATAACAAGAACATGAGCATCAACATCAAGACCAAAATATTTAAAAGTTATGTTAAGTGTTCTCTGCTGTGGTCCAGAATGCTGGAAGATTTCTAGCACATCAGAATGAAGGAAGACTAAAAAGTATTCATAGAATTCCCATGAAGATGCCAATCAGGCATGACAAACACTGCAGAGACCAGGCATACACATGATTGGCGATGGCTTGTTCATGTATGTAGAATTACAGAAAACTCATTTTGAAGACCATAACGTAGATAGACAGCCCTGAAAATTATACCACAGAAAATCCAAAGAAACCTTGTGCAGAGAAATATGAAAAGATCTTTCCCTTAGAAGCCTGAGCCTGCAACATATCGTCAGAAGTATTATTCTTGACCATTTAATTTATTTAAATAATAAGGTTAAATGATTAAAACAAGTGGTTCTATGTTTTAATGAAAAAAAAAAACAACTTCCATTGTCCCTAAAACTCAGTCTTTAAAATAATTTTGAATAAATTATTTGTATCTTTTATAATTTTAAAGCGATCAAATTATATAAATAATTCAAGGCAATTTTAGACAAAGCTTATACTTATATGGCTAGTTTTAATTTTTCACTGACATTTCTCCACTGCACTTAAAATAAAAATAGTAAAAGAAAACAAAGAAAATAAAAAAACAATAATGATGATGGGTCATATCATTGACATTGGTTGACTGAATTTCACATCTTGTTTTTAATTGACTAGGTAGAAATTATAACATAGATTAAACATATAACATATACAAAGAGTGCAGCAGTGTCAAGATTTAAAGAGGCTAGACAACAGCGTACATACCGGTGCCAATAATAATAAAACAAAACAAATTGAATTACATCTTAAAAATTAACTCACCAAAAGTATAAGGCAATTGTAATGGAATATATAAATATAATGTCACATGAAATGTATTTTACTTTAGACGATAGGCCGATAGGCTATATAATAGGACTAGGACTTATAATAAGGGCAAGGGCCTTACTTTTACAGAATTATGCCTAACTAGTGACAGTATAAAATTATAACAAATTTTATTAGGCTAGTTCTAAGACAAGTAGTATATAATTTTATGTAGCCTTTTTTTTAATATAAAAATTTTATTGTGCTTTACTTTACTACTTACTACTATAAGTAGGCCTATATTATTATAGTTTTTTTTATAGCCTACTAAGGCCTAGGCTATACAATTATTTAAATATAAAAAAATTAGGCTACTACTGCCTATTACTTATTTGTCAGCCTATTTATTACTATTATTTTATTTTATCCTGAAATGACACTCAAATCACTATTTTTAATCACTTTAATTTTATAGACTAATGACTTTTCCCACCAGATTTATAGTTGAACATGGGATGATTCATTCATGTTTAGCCAATCAATTTTGGGTGAGCCCTTTAGAGCGAAGGGCGCGTACGCGCAACTCACTAGCTCTCTGGCAGCAAAAGCACTGAATGAGTAATCACACTAAAGATGTGTTCCCAGTCGTCTCTCTTCAAGTATGATGACATAACCACATAAGACTTATGATAAGTGAGACATGACATGTCTGAGACATGAATGAATGCACGGTAACATCATATTTTTGCGTTGTAAACGATATAGACTAATGTTTTGCTTAAAAAATGTGTCTCATTTATTTTTTTTAAATATTTTAAAAGAGAAAACTAGCAAGTAAATGGAAATTTAGGAATACAATTTTACTACCTACGTGATTGTCTCGGTACCCTCTGAAGGTAATACAGGAACGGTCACTCTTCTTGAATCTGGAGTCGACTCGGTTGATTGCTAGCTTACCTCCCTTTTAATACGTCGAACATATTAAAATTTACAAAAGACGAAGGATGCTTTTAATAAGACTATTATTAACTCAGCGTTTTCCAAATATCACATTTCCACTGCCGATTTTTAAATTATTCTTGAATTGATGACCATTTTAAAAAAAAATATGTATTGGAGCTCTCCATTGATTTTCATTTTTTTTTTAAATTATTATATGGCAGCCAGGGAGGTCACCCATAAATGAAAATTATGTCATGCTATATGTATGCAGATTTTTTTAGCCCTTTTCCCGGTTCCCTCGGGAGCCCTATCGTCACCAATAATTAGAAACTCAATAAAAAGTCGGTTTAGATTATATTTAGTTTACCTGGCTTGAATAAGCTAAAATGTTGCACACAGATAACTCTGCTACTGCTGTCCTTGTAAAATATGCCTATATCATATCTAATTAAAAGGGGGGCTCTCAAGCTAGGGAGCGTCCATTAATTACGTCCAAAAAATGAGGGGGGGGTGGGTAAAAGGGGTTTAGAAATGTTAGACAGTTGTTGACAAGGGGGAGGGGGGAGTTTAGATTAGTTGACGTCAACAATCATGCTTTTTCTATTAGAATTTTAACCTTAAAAATTGATTTGTACTCACATTATTTTAAACAGTTTAATAAGTGCAAATATTCATTTATGTTTAGGCTTTAAACAATATAAGAGTTTAACATTGTCTGTCTGTGCAATGCAGATGGTTGGTCAGAATGTTAGCACACTTTGTTAGTGCAAGAGAAGTCAAAAGTTGGCATCTCGTCATCTGTCATTTTTCTCTTAATCCGCTCCCTGAATGAATGATCCATCATTGTTCAATTTAAAAAAAAAAAAAACACACACATCGGTTTTCAATAGAGTTCTATACCAACTCAAAGACAGAGAGAGCTTATGGCAATTATTGCTCACACCGACAATACTTCTATTTCAAGTGCTGAATGGTTAGATAAGAATGCTGTTGTCTTGTCTGGTGTATCAGTTACCCTAGATGAAAATGATAAATCAACTACTATACACCATGCCCATCAGGGGCGGGATTTCAGGGGGGGGGGGTTTCAGGGAAAGAGAGTGGGGTACCAAAACTAAAACTTGGTCGGCTTGTTAAGTTATTTATTACTTGAGGCGCCACATTACATAGCAATTTAAATAAAACAAGCAAAATGCCCCCTGCCCTCCCCAAATGATGTCCCTGATGCTCAGTGTTACGATACAGCAACACCTGGCTACTCCAAGGGAAGATGATAGCAGCTATAAACTATACTATAATTGTCAGCTTTACTGACAGTAATCATATATTATATACTTCCACAAACAATGATATTTAGTCCTTCACAACCTATTACTTGATTCTGCATTATAAATTTGAAGTGTAAAAACTTTGTAACTTGTTGATTAACAAGCTAAACATGTAATAAAATGATTTCCCTAAAATTGTGTGTGTCATTTAAATAGATCAGCACAAAGTAAAATGGATTTATAAATTTATTTATATTATAATCCTTTTTTTTTGGGGGGGGGGGGGTAAATGTTTAAATAATTAAATAGGGTTGGGGGGGGTGGTAAATGTTTACATAATTAAATAGGGTTTGGGGGGGGGGGTCATCGAAAGTTTTAGAAACACAATTTTTTAGTCAATGCCATGGCACCATAATTAAAGGTATGTTCCCCGGGTACAACTCCTTGATGTAAACAAGCTAGAATATCAGTCTATTTTTTAAAATTCTTTATCTTAAATTATTCAAATCAATAGTTTCTTCCTTCTTTTTTTAAAAAAGTATAATGTCCCCTTAAAATCCCCTCTTTTTGGTTTTAAATCTAAAACTATGACTAGGATTAGATTTTAAAACAAAAAAAAAAAAGAGGGGATTTTTAAGGGGACATTATACTTTTTAAAAAAAAAAATTTTTTTAAGTATAATGTCCCCTTAAAATCCCTTCTTTTGGTTTTAAATCTAACGCTACGCCTAGGATTGTTTCAATCTACACACGTGTGAAGGGTTCAAGGGGAAAAATCAGTGATGTCAGGTTTTGAGAGTTTGGAGAAAATTGAAAATAAAATTTAAAAATTACTCATGAAAGTATAAAAATATCAAAATGTCTAAACTATTTTTTTTATTGACTACGCTGCTTTTTCAGTTGGGCCTGTGTGTCTTATTAGTCTATTGAGTGGAATGTGGCTACACGGGAGATAACTTGCAAATTTCGAAAAATTGACATCACTGGTTTTTCCCTTGAACCCTTCATATGTATAATCCTTCCAGTTTTTGTCTATTGTCCTATTGTTTTGCACTAATGAAGGCTTTCTGACAAAATGTTTATCAGCATGTTTTATTATTAGTAATCATGATGCAATCCGTTTATGCCATCAAAGTTCTATCTCCATCACTGCTCTCTCACCCCACCCCACCCCCTCCCTTTTCCCCTGTTTCAAGTCATTCACCTCTCCCCTGAATCGCTTTTTAGAGCTCATGTTCATGTGTTCTTTGGCCCCCCCCCCAACCCCACAGTGGGCGCACATCATTACATAGATGAAGATCCCTGACTGCATTGCTGGTTATTTTTTGATCGGTGGTCAACATCTCCAACCTATTCCATTTTTTTAAAAAGATGTCATTTGCTCTATGTTAAGTGTCATACTTTTTCAACAAATTGTTAATTTTTTAAATACGTATTTCCGTTTAGTTGACATTTTAATTTTATTTTCTCCACTTAACATTTATTTATCAAAGTTTTTAGTTTTTACTTTTTTGTAGTTTAGTATTGCTCTTTGTGTCACTTGCATATGGTAGGAGTGTTTGTATATTTGAACCAAAAAAAAAGATGTTAAATGAAAGCTAGTAGAGCTGGAGCCAGGGATTGGGGTTGGGGGTGGGGGGGGGGGTGGGAGGATGGAGCTTAATAAATTATGTGAAAGTAAAAAATAGAAATATTTAATTTTTTTAAATTTTAGTCAATGTAAAAGATGTTAAATGAAAGCTAGTAGAGCTGGAGCCAGGGATTGGGGTTGGGGGTGGGGGGGGGGGTGGGAGGATGCAGCTTAATAAATTATGTGAAAGTAAAAAATAGAAATATTTAATTTTTTTAAATTTTAGGCAATGTGATGAAATCACAAGGCTTCTGATTTTTGTTAAGAGGGAAAAAAATATGTGTTCAAAGAAGTAAATAACTAGAAAAACAAGATATGTTTATTCTTTAAGAAAATATAAAAGACTGGACAATAAAACATACATTTCATTTCAGCTGAAAGCCTTCTTCAGCAGACAAAACATAAACAGGAAACAACAGATACTTTAAATAAAAACAGAACTAAAAACGTATGTTTTGGAACATCCCCATGAAGACATAACCTTGTGTTGTTTTAGTTTGTCAGTGCTTTGTTGGGGATTGCACTCCGATCCACCAATCGGACATGACACATTTCACAGCTTAGCCATTTATTAAAGTAAAGAGAAAATAAAGAGAAAGTAACTAAGCTGATGTCCTGTCCGTTCGTTCACCATACAAATACGCTACCATACATTAAAACTATATTAAAAAATGTTTGCCTCCCCCTTGAAAGTTTATTCGATTTTTTGCCCCCCCCCCTCCCCCCCAGAAAGTTTTCTGCTGGCGCCCATGAACACAAAAAACTTAATTTTTTTAATTAAAACTGAAAAAAACAATTTTAAATATAGGCCTTCTATACTAAAATTCATTTTTTTGAACATAAAATCACTGCATTTGATATGATTTTCTAAAAAAATATGAAGAATAATTGAGCAATTTTTCAAAATTTTTCAAATCATTATTATGAATGGTCCACAATGTTCTTTAAATTTTTGTGACTGCAATTCATAGAGAACTCTCAAAGGTGAAACCAATACCATGACCAATATTTTACGGTCCAGTGGTCACCACTCGGGGTGGGGGTGGGGGGGGGGGCGTGGACCTCTGTATTTTTTTGAACAAGACAAATGCTACTGGATTTAATATCGTTTAACCTGACAAATGCTATTGGATTTTAATGTGTTTGGAAGCCTTTACAACAACTTTTCATGAAGAACACTAACATGTCATAAAATATTGTATCTACTACATGGAGTAAGGCTACTGCTACATGCTAGAAATATGACAATTTTATTCCAATTTTGTACCTGTTTCTGTAGCACTACGGTCGACTGTTATAAACACAGATTGCTCAAGATCCTAAATAAAATCTCTAGATAAAACATTTTTTGAAATTTACAACAATAAACAAAAAACGTAATCAATATCTGTTACAGTTAAACAATGAAGAAACTGATGTATAGGCTAAATAAATGTGAGAAGGTGAAATCAGTTATTGAATCAAAAATTCAAATTTCCATTACTTGATAAATTACTTGGCTTGTTGTTAGCATTTAAAAAAAATAATATTAAAAATAAGTACAGAATCAGTGAGAAGAAAAAGTGAAATCATTTTTATGCTGTAATTATCTCTTTTTCCAAGTTAAATTTTGTCTAAATTGGGGGTGGGGGAAGGGGGGGCTTTCATTATTATTTTCTATAAGTGTTTTTTTTTTAAAATTCAATTAGCAGTAAATGGTCTTTTTGCCCTATGATCTTATCAAATGATTCAATTTTTTGTGCTCCTTGAAAACTCTGTTACAGTTTCCTGTAAATTGTTTTAGAAAGCTGACTTACACTACAAGCTTAGACAGTGATACAGCAACCAAAAGAATTGGGAGAGTAAAATAGAATGTGTGCATTTCTAAGTAAACAATCAAAGCTTTGGAGTGTTCATAAAATATTTTAATTTCAACACGAAAATCTCATTGAAGTCATCGGACTTTTTGATAACATCTCTCACTAACTTTCACTCATTTACCTCACATACTAATTCTTACAATTCTTAAAAGTAGCACTCTCAGAAATAAAATGCAACAGGAAGAAACACAGAACAAAAAACAAATATCCCTGCACCACTCATTTCTACCTCAGTAAATACTAGAAAAAGTTATGGTCTAAAAGACAAAAACCATGGATTAAGTGAGCAAATATTTTTCTCTTAACATGTGATGAAAAAGGGCAAATTCTTAAAATTCTTTCATCTTGCAAGGTAGGGGAAGAGAGAAGGAAGAAACAAAAAGTCGGGGAAATGTTCTATGTTATGATTATTGAAGCTGTTATTCTTAAGTAAAAAAAACAAATAGCGACTGACTAGCTTCGACTAAACATGGTGAGCGATGATTTTCACATCACATTGAAACATTTAAATCTCCACTATAGTTATGGCCAGGCATGTTCTATTTGATGTTTAAAATAACAATACTAATAAATAAAACAGCAACATTTACCTGGTTGGTCAATGATTTTTGGTATGAGTTAATGATGGCTATGATAAGGTGAAGGAATTGGTAGCTTCAGGAATATACCACCTTTTTCTTTAAAAGTTAAAATGGCATCCAATAAGAAGGGAGGTGTGGGTTTAAAAACTGCAGCAGAACCACCAATCAAAAATTGACTACAAGAATATCAATTTTTGTTAAGAGTGCTTTATGTTTTGAATTCATTTTTTTAAAAAGTATTGCCGTCTATTCATTTTTTAAAAAAAATTAATTTAGAATAACCTAAGTTCTTAAATGCACAAGCAAATTTATTTTGTGACATTTAACAAAAAAAAATAATAATGATTATGAGCTATCAAAATTTAATTCTTCTAGTTTCACAAATATTTTTGCTTATTTCTCCAATTATATTTGGAAAAGAATATGCATTCAAACAACTATAAACAAAAACTTAATGAAAAATAACTCATTAATGTTATAATATTATAACACCACTGTTCAACTTATTTATCATGAAAATAAAAAAAAGGTTTCAGTGTGCAAAAATTATTATTTTTTAAATCTTAGTGCTGCATTAAGAGAAGCATGCGTAATGCTTTAAATATTTGTATATATATGTACAATAGGAGCTCATCTATTCAGACTTATTGTGAACTGGTGAAGTCTGAATAATAAAAAATTTTTTAATATTTTTAACAAATAAATTTACACAATAGTGACAATAGAACTGTGTTCCATTTTATTCATCTAGGACGTTTGAAAAATAATTTCACATCTATTGTTTAAAATATTTTAAAATTACAAGACCAATCATAAAATTAGTAAAGCTAATTAACATTTTTATAAGAAAATTAAGAGAAATATTTCCAGACAAGGTACATAATTGTGCAGCATATTATCATACAAACCACCAATATTATCTTATCCTGACTTGTTCTTTTCTCAATGAGCCTCATGACAGTGTTGGTCAAACCTAATGTGTTGGTTATATCTAGAATACGCCGGTGTGCACCTTTAAGTGTCATGCGCTGCTCCCTGAGGTTGGTAATAATGCTGCCCCCGTGCCCGATGAGGTTGTCCAAATGCTTGCTTGACTCATTCAGTTTTGTGTGATGTTGAAGCGCAGGGTCAATCATGATGGCTGTGTCTTGTTCATTGGTGGTGAAAGTTCGAGCTAATAGGATTTCTCTTTCATTTTCCTCCTGTTGTTTCATATGCCTGAAAAAAGTATTTGTGCATTGAGTTAAACTACTAAAATCTGGAAATGAATGGTCTAACAATACACAAACAGCCTTGATTTACTGTAAAGAAAAATAAGAGACAACATTTCTGTTAAGTATACCTAGTATCGATAATAAAGCCCATATGTGGGTATATTCTTGCCTTCTTTTGAAAAAGATATGTTTTGTCTTATATATATATATTTATATATTTATTATTTTATTTTTTTTAAAGAGGGGGGGGGGGGCGCTTGGGGCATTGCATTAAAACACTTCTTTACAAAAATTGTATATTGGACACTTCTGTAAGACAAAAATAGATCCAATAGATAAAATTTAACATCCAGAAATCAAAACCTTATGTTTTAAAGTGTGATTATTCGTATATATGTTTCTTGTTGGAAATCATAATAGACATTTAAAATAGAGGGTTGTTAACACTGTGCAGAAAAAAGAAATAAAGTTGTACAAATTAACTTTAATTATTTATTATTATAATTTATAATACTGTATTATGTCATTATGGCTACCTTCATTGTTCAAACCTATGATTCAGTGATTAAAATAACATACAATTTGATAGAAGTCCTACCAGTTAAGTTAAAGCTGCAGGAATAACTCCAGAATGTTAAAAACAAATATCGAACCATTCAGGTAAACCAAATAGTAATCTCTACCTTTTATGTTGCAACTGTCGCATTGAGCTATGAAGATGTTGACAATCATATTTTAACTGATCTACCCTCATTTTGGCATTGGCTCTTCGAGATGGTGGCTCTTTTGAAACCAAAATGTCAAGGCGTTCACAGTTGCTAAAAATATGATCAATCTGTGCTTGGACTTCATTCTCGATCATATGGGCATCATTAGTTCCAAACGCTCGTTCAAGACGAGCAAGATCTCCATGCACCTAAAAATAAAGGGTATACCTGTAAATATTACTGTTTCAGCTTTGAAAAGAGTATGGAATTTTAGTTACCTGGTAATCCTTAAATATATACATAGCTTACGGCCTAACTATGGGTCAAATTTACATACAAACTCAAAACTAAACATTATTAGCTGATACTGACAGTCATATTTAGCTATAAACCATAACCTATGGACCTACCTTTTTTTATTATTTTAGAGCTTAGGTGTTATTCATTGATATTTTTTCCTTTTCCCATCAATTAAATAGATTTATTACAACTATCAGAATTCTTTATCTCTTTGTCTTAAATTAAAAGTTTAAGTACCCGGTAAGGTCATAAGGACTTAACAAGTTAGACAATATGTGTGGAACACTTGCCCCAAATGCAGTTTCTAGCTTAGAGTGAATAAGATAATTTTAATTGTAGCCTCAGTCATATCATATCATAATCATATGCCTCTTGTTTACATTTAGATTCATCACAAAGGCCTATTAATTACCTATATTCTATATAATAAATAATTAATAATTAAAATATAACTAACACAAATTTATAAGCCCTAATAACATTGCCTATGCCAAAAAGTAATATTAATAAGTATGTATCTCTATATAGGTCTACATTCTAATTTAATCTCATACTCACATGCTAATTTAATTATGTTATGTGTAAATTTTGACTACGATTGCCACTGTTTTCTCAATGGCCGCCATCTTGGTTAACACATCACGTAAAGTAATCAATCCCTATGCCTAACCTGAACCCTAAATCGATCCCTTAAATAATTTAGTAAAAATAAACAAAGGGAAGTCACTCCCTGAAAAATAAGTCGTGGCAATCTTAACTAGGATTAGCTATGTTATGACTTTATGTAGTAGCCTAACAACCATTAACTAATTAATTATTATTTAATATTATTATTTCTAATTACTTGGTAATGGTAATAAACATAAATATTAAATAAAAGATGTAGGAAATACAACATTGTTTATCCTATTGCTGATAGTACTGTTGGAATTAAATTTTGGTTTTAAATTGTAGTTAAATGAAAGGCGGGTTTAGCTGAAGTTTAATTAGACTCAAGTTAGGCCTACTCAAAACTCAGACTCAAGTTCAAGATTGTGAGAAGTGTGCAGTTTAGTGTAGTCAGCGAGAGTGTGAAGACAATATTTTATTAAGTTTAAGTAGACCTATCCGCCGTAAAGAACCCCAGACCCCAGCAAAAGTCAAAAGTGGCAAAACAAATGTACAAACCTCCTGCAATAACTTGTTGGTTTGATGATATAACGTTTCCATGTCGATCAGCAAACGTTTAATTTCAGAATGTATGTAAACAGTCACCAATCTTCAAATGCTTTAATCTATTTAGTAGAACATCTGTTAACCGCTCTTTAAAATTGTGGTCAAAGTTTCTTGTCGTACGTGTCCCACAACATAGTGTCACTGCGTCAAATAATCAACTTCCGCTTTCGTTATTTAATAAATTCTATTTTTATCCGTCATCAAACTGTAATAACCCTGTTCAAGCTCAAGTTCCATAATTTTGTTGTGGGTATCTCCCTTAATACAAAAAAACCTGAGGATTTGAACAGTTATGTTGTGATTTCTTTCCACATCTCGTAATTATCTTTATGCGATTATAAGTTTTGAAACTCATAATTCAAATAACATTAATAACAATTATTAGTTATATGGAGTTCGGTTTTGGATATTGAGATTATTTTCCAATGATATATTGGGCTAGGCTATGTTTCGAAATTGTAATATTTTAACCTAGTTTAACTAGCTAATTTAAATTTAAGCAAAACTCTTTGAATCGTTAATCGAAATCCTAAGCCCTTGTTGGTACTTAATAAGTAGGCCTAATATCTAGTTAAAATCACTGGGTGGCTGGATGGCCTGTTGTTCTTAACTGAGTCAATTCCAAACTTGTGGGCTGGAGTTCAATCCCCAGTAGAAACTCATAAACACCACCTGCACCCCGGGTGGCTGGAGCTTGTTTACCCTGGCTGGCACCTCATCCCAGAGTAGGAGAAACTCTGAATTCAACCCCGTAGGTGGTACGACATTGACACAATGAGAACTCCAACGACTTCTAAGACACCACTGGTGCGAAAACAACATGACTGCAGTTTTTGTCTCAGAGACTAACTGATTTTACTATCATCTTAAACCTGCTTTTTTTTTTTTTTTTTTTTTTTTTTTTTTTTTTGCATTTGTACCGCACTTCGAGCCTTTGGGGATGAAGCGTGTTTTTTTACTATCATCTTATACCTGCTTTTTGTACCGCGCTTCGAGCCTTTGGGGATGAAGCGTGTTTTTTTACTATCATCTTAAACCTGCTTTTTGTACCGCGCTTCGAGTCTTTGGGGATGTTCATCTTAAACCTGCTTTTTGTACCGCGCTTCGAGCCTTTGGGGATGAAGCGTGTTTTTTTACTATCATCTTAAACCTGCTTTTTGTACCGCGCTTCGAGCCTTTGGGGATGAAGCGTGTTTTTTTACTATCATCTTAAACCTGCTTTTTGTACCGCGCTTCGAGCCTTTGGGGATGAAGCGTGTTTTTTTAAAATAAACTTATTATTATTATCAGCGGTACTCAACCTGTGGGTCGCGACCCATTTAGGGGTCGACCAACCCTTTCACAAGCGTCGCCTAAGATCATTGAAAAACACACATACTTTACAGTTAAGAACTTATGAAGTACCGGTATCAATGAAAATAACTTGAGGAACTGTATTAAAGTAAAGGGTCGCGGCATTAGGAAGGTTGAGAATCACTGGCCTTAGACGGATAAACCTTATCCCTTTCTTAATCGTGTCTTACTTTAGAGCGATATAATTACCATTAATACTTTACTGGGTTGTTGTTTTTTAAAACATCGACGCCAGCAAAAATATCCACGTTATCGAAATGAAAACAACAATAACTTATAACTCTTCTTCTGTTCGCTTTACCGGTGAAGGGTCTTGGGTAGTTATAGTTTACGGATTGCCGTAAGAGGGTCGTTCGCAAATTACGTCACGCTCGAGGGGGGTCGAGAATTTGTGACACTTTGTGACCGGGGGGGGGGTCACATTTTTTTTTTTAAATCTTAAATTTTCTAGTTTTGAAAAATCTTTATTTAATTAATTTTAAAAACATTAACTTGAGGTCGAAATTGCCTCATGTATTATATGTACCGTGAAGCGCTCAGTCGCTCACACTTTCTGCGCATATCGAAAAATGACGCAAAAAAACTGTTGTGGCCATTTTACATTCGGCTCGGGGAGGACTTCATTGTTTTGCGTTTTACGTCACAGTTTTGTAATAATACTACATCTTCATCCATTATGGGGAAATGTTAAAGAATAAAATAAAATCTTAGTTTAGTTATGAAAAGTTTATTTCTGTTTTGAATTTTTGTTAGGTGTGACGTGACACTAACGGATTTACTGCGCTAAATAATGGTCCTTGAAACGAGATGCAGCAAGTGCGTTTGGTGCGTAATATTTTATTTTGTTTCACGGGGAAAAGCTGGTGTGATAAAGCTGTGGTGCAAACATGATTGGGACCATTAGCGTGTTAATATGGCTCAGGGGCTGTGGCGTACGGGGATTGGGGGGGTAGCACTAATTTGGGAATCTTACAAAGGGGTTTACTTGAATGCATGTTTTGACAAGTAATTTTAGTAGACAGGAGCCTTTAGGATGGCCGCATCGTTTCCCATACCGTTGCACACATATTCCAGGACTTGGTTGCAGCAACGTAGCCTATCGGAATCAGAATGAGTTTTTAGAATGACAATGAACGCCAGCGACGTCATGTGCCATCAGAACGATCTTTTAATGAATATTCCCGCTAAGCCATTCACAATTCACACGACCCCATTTTGCAATCTGATTGATTGCGATACATAATTAATTCTAAAATTTGGCGCATTTATATTAGAGATTATAAATGGTGCCTACGTCACTTTCTATGTCTTGCCAGACACTCGATACTCTTCTGATGCCTCTGACAGTTAGCTTATAAATTATATGTTGTTCGTCCGTCGAAGTCGACAAGGACCATCGAATCATCCGGTTAGGGGCGGGCGGAGGGGGGGGGTGGGATTACGGTGAGCTCTTAGGTGGCTTGTTAGACCGATCCTTGCTCGGAATAATCTATGACACCGTGGGCATGGAATAGTTGCTTCAGACGATGACCTAATGTTGCTCTTTCGAACAAGCCTGCGTGTCTCAGCTGTGGTTATTCTCTTAGCTTCATGGGATTTAGCCCCCTTCTTGACAGCAGCTCTCCATCTGGCTCTGTCCTGGGCTGTCTGCTCCCATTGAGTAGGGTTTATGCTGAAGGCCTTTAGTGCATAGTTGGATGACTGATGACTTGCGCGGGTGACTTTTTTTAAAGTGAGCAAGAGTTGCGCAGCGTCAACCTCACTCTCTCGTCCGGACCCACCGTGTCCAGTGGCAAGACTATGTCAAGACGACCAGAAATGGGTACGGATGCAGTGGATAAATTATAAAGAGTGCACGTCAAAATAAGACAATAATAATAATTTAAAAAAAAACAACAGAAGTCACATTTTAACTGTTGAATGTTTATTTAAGCTCGTAGTGTATGCTTATTTGTAAAAATGAAAATCATGTGGGGAAAACATTAGTAGGCCTACATATAAATCACATTCACTTTTTGGAATAATTTTTTTTTAAAGTTTATGGATAAATGAGAGTATTAGACGTGTGCAAAAATGTCATTTTAACCTAAAACGTGTAGCATATTTACAAACCTACAAAACAATCGTGTTGATAAAAGTGAAATCCAAGAAAGAAAGACGACTCTGTCAGTCTGGTTTTACTGTCATTAACAAAAAGTGTGTGGGGGCGGGGGGGAGGGGGAGAAACAAAAAGCGGGGGGGGGGGGGGTTTTTCTAAAAGATTAAAAGGCCTTTTTAACTTTAATAATTTTTTGGGAAAAATTGATAATCTTTTTAGCTTTTTTTTTTTTTTTTTTTTTTTTTTTTTTAAAGGAATAACCGTAGTAAATTTTTTTTAGTAAATGTTGAACATGTTCAGTGTTTTTGAACACAGCAGGAGATAAAAAGTTATTTAAAAAATCGTGATATTAAAAGGACATTGTGATGATCGGTTAAAAAAAAAAATGAATAAACGTGTCATTTTAATATTTGTCAAACAACCAATCAGCTAATTAGCCAATCAGCCAATCAGCCAATCAGCTAATTAATTCTGTTAGTTTTGAGGTGTGTTTTTTTAATTCTTTGATATCCGAATGCACAATTAGTCCCGCCATTGCGCACGGAAGTGACGAGCATCATTCCCGGCCAAGGGCAGCAAGCCGTGTTGTCGGTCTCGCTGCACAGTCTCGCTGTGTGCCTTTCTGCTCGTCTGCGTGATATGCAACTGCTGCACCGTTCGCACTTTCCCTCATTGGAGAAATAGCCGTCTGCACAGCCGATGATCGTGTCCATTGTCGTGTTGCATTCTTTTATCAGAATCTGGTGACTCGCCTGGTCCGGAAATTTGCATTTGACGCATTCGACATTTTGGTGGTTGTCGTGTGGAAGGAAAAAACCAGGCATGCAATCAACGCACGACGGTTGATCAGAATTGCCGTGCTCAAGGCGCTGTCCTCTGTGGCAGACGAATCGTGACGTCTCCACACATCTGGTATCGTTCAACGCCATGCCAGGTTTCGGGCAGCAAACCGTGTCAGATCTCTCAGCGCACCTCCTGGCAACGTACATGTTTCTTCCCGCACAGTCTGTGCAAATGGTACAATCCGAGTAGTCCACGTTCAAATGTTCGCGGAAGTAATTATTCTTACAACCAATGACTGTGTTCGACGTTTTTGTACAATTCTTGATGGTTATCTCATGCAGGTACACTTTGGCGTGGCTGCAAGGGAAACAGTTGATGTTAGCGTGATTGTCATCGATCATGTAAGTTCCTTCTTGACAAGGCAAACATCGCCGGGGTCTAGAGCTGTTCAAATACTGACCCCGATGGCACACGTAGTGGCAACTGGTGCCAATCGCGAGGAATGAGAAAATAAGGAGACTCGTTTTAGGATCCATTTTGTTTTCATATATTTCAAGGTGGTCGCACGATAGCTCACGCAAAGTCAACACCCAAGCCTTGTCTAAATGGATCTGTCTTAACTTCAGGTCGCTCGTGGTCAGGGGCTGTGCTCACTGTATACTAATTGTAGTGACGTACGGTGGTCCGTTCACAGGTGCAGTCACTCTGTACAAAGGAAATATATATGTGTAAGAGTAACTTACAGCCCAGATGAATAAAAGATATTGTACTCCTAATTTTAAAAAATTTAAAGAAACTGTTTTGAAATGTATTGTAATTAGAGCCATATTTCGACCCGTGCGTCTTGTCACACTCGCATGCCGTGATGAGGAAATAGCGTGCCGTTAGTATGTTAAAACACTCCAAGCGTG